CATTCGGGTATAACGAGTACGTCAAGGCCCTCTCGATCCACCTTGAGGATCTTGTTGACCTCGCCCACGCCTCCGCCTCTGCTGCAGCCCAAGCTTACTACGACAAGAAGGCCACTGCTCGTCAATTCTATGTTGGACAACGTGTACTAGTACGACGTCTTGGCCCTCAAACCGGAAATAAGCTTGAACCTAAGTGGAGCCCCGGTTGGTTTGTGGTTGGTCAGATGCCTGGCCAAGAGAATAAGGTTCTCAAGCTCAAGCACCAAGATACGCTTCAAGTTCGTGTTCTGTCAGCTGATTATGTCGCTATCGACCCCCTTCAGCCCGACGCCGTTCCTGACGCCCTTGGTATTATGCGACAAGATCCACTACTACGTGCTGGATCGCCCTCGCCCGACCCCGATCTCAACAACGCCCCCGGTCCTGAACCCCCTGTACGACCCGATGTCATTACAGACAATGTGAGTCCAGGAGATGGTTACCCTGTGGACCCCCTGGCCGGCCCTGAGATACCCCCTGACCCTGATGCTTTACTATGGATTGAAGTCGACTTCCCACAACCACAACCACGAAACTCAAGACAAGAACCCCTGTCGGAAACGATAAGTACGGCGACCCCGGATGATGTCTCTACTGGACGCAGTGGTGAACCTCATCTACCAGAAGAGGGAAGTGCAGGCGATCTCGACGGACGCGTTGAGACCACGCCAGCCCAGACCCCTTCTAGTTCTTCATGCCTACAACCCGACGACAACACCGACAACAGCGAGTTTCAATCGGTGCCTTCTACAGATTCCTCGTCAGCTGTCCCATCGCCCCCTACGTCACCACCCTGTGAAGAAACGGCTGAGGCTCCTGCAACGGCAGATGTTATGGAGACGGCCGCCCCTTCTGAAGCGGCTGGTCGACCTATAGGACGTGGACACCGTACGAGAAACCCAAGAGTAAGGTTTGACCCTCAGACATATGTACCATTAGGAAGACGTCATTAGATTTTTGCCTTTTTGTGCGCCGCGCTATACATTTGCACACGTGTATTGTCTACCTTTTACGTCACGTTAGGGCCGTAACATTGTCCCTTTTGGCCCTTGTCTCTGAAATCGATATTGTCTCGGACGTTTTGACTTATTGCTCTGTTACAGCGAGAAGAGGCCCTGCGGGTCGATCCCGAGGTGCCAATGATATCCCCACCACGGCTCCCGTCCCCCTCGTCCGTCGTATCCTCCGCCTATCATTACTCAACCTCCCCGACCACCGACTAGACCACAAGCCGTTAGCGGTTCGTCTTCATCATATGTCCCGACTTCGGCGCCACCGCGTAGTATGCGTGATCAAGCTGTGATGACTGACGCCATGGTTTCGGCACATGTTGACGACTCGACTGCCCTTACTACTATTGAGGCTACTAACAACTACTACGATAACGACGCTGATGATGCTTCAATTGACACCGACAACTCCTATGGTCCCGGTCAACCAAAAGACGACGAGTCCTTACAAGAATATTTACATGGTCCTCGTCCAGCCTTTGACTACTTTGGATTCTCTGTCGAAGCCCTTTTTCTCACATTAGACGGAAGCGCCGACTCCTTTGAGTTTCACCGTCACCACGACCCTTACCGCGTGTTCGAGCCTCGCCCTTGTCCATTGGTTAGTTTTATTCCCCACGCCGATGTCGACATGCACGTCTCTTACCCCCACAAGGTGCGTGATGCTACCGGTGCTCTCAAAGACCTCGGCTGGATTGACGACTTCGACTTGGACCCAAATACTGACCCTTGCCGCTTTTACTAGCCATGTTGTCGAGTCCCCTGATCAAGGTGTCGGTGTCCTTCGAAGGCCCTCGTCTATTACCGCAGCTGAAGCTGTTCTATTGAGGTATACGATGATGCTGAGTCGTGGCACTGTTACTCAATGTGACGGTACATTCCCTATGCCCTTGGGATGGAGTTTCGACCGCTCCCTGATTAAGCCCTTCGAGATTCATGACGACGAATGGTTTGACCAATACCCTACTCAAGCATGCTACGACAAGGCCCTTGGCAGCTCCTTTCGTGTTGCCCATGATCGGACCTACGCCTTCTACGAAGGTAATCGTAACCCACTAGAACTAGCTCGAGAGTATAAGCCCTTACGGTGAAATGGTCGGTCGGCCGGTTGGTTAGTTGGTTGATTTGGTTCGTGGATGGAGATGATAGACTTGCTGGATTGGTTGAGTCTCTTTTTATTGCTGCCCTTTTATCTGCTCTGACTATTGACTGCTATAATTATCTCTTATCCTCTTAGCGTGATCCAGACTAAGAGGGGGGGAGTGTAGGGATCGCGCCCTACGCGCTCGCCCTTGTAATCGTTATCGTCTGATCACTTATATTCGCTCGCCATCGATCGCGCTATGCACGTATGCGCACTGTGTGATCATGAACTTAGGATAAGTAGAGTTACAACTCCTTTTTGATCCTTCTCACTCGGCTGCCCTTCCACGAAGGTCTGCCCTTGTTGTGAAGTTCGACTACGCTATCCACTGAAGTCTGGCTACTAGTTGTGTTGCCCAGTAACAGGCACAACAATTCATGAATCGCTTCGCTCCGCCTATTTACACTTGTGCTGAATTGATGATTGCGTGACCTTTGGACACATCAACTTTGGACATAAAGTTGTCGAAAGCCCTTTGGACAGCAAGGGATGTCAAAACGAATCTCATGACTAAGTTTTGGACAGTTTGTCCAAAAACTACCCTTGGGAGTAGTTTGGACATGAAGTTGTCGAATATTTTTTTTCATCAAGAAGTTGTCCAATTACGCCTGTAACGACCTTTGGACAGCTTTCTGATCAATTGGACATGTTTGGACAACATTTAGTAATCTGGACTACAATGTGTCGGAATGTGGCACCGATTACCTTTGGACATCTGTCTCGAATGCGCTCGCCCATAAATGTTTAAAATTTATCTGACAATGTAATTCCTGATAGCTCCTTAATAGTATTAGCTTTCGAGGAGGCTATTAATCTTCTTATTTTTGCGACACGAGAGCTGAATCAGCTCAGCTGATAAGATGAGATGGCGATGTTAAAAAAACCAAAAAAACCAAAAAACAGCGGAGATGGACTGGTCACCCTCGCCGACTATCGAAGACCTCAAAAGCCGCTGATGTGTGCGAAGCATTGGCTGGCCGCCTAGCCGAAATCGGCTTCGAGCGAGAGAGAGAGGGAATCTTTTAGTCGGTGTTGTTTTTGCATTATGGCTGAGACTGCAGTAAGGATAGTGTACCGGCATTTCCTACCATGTGAGAGCGTGGATGAAGTTGATTGTGCTATTTGTCTTTTACCTGGCGATGATCTAGATGCAGTCCGTGGGGCTATGATTCAATGTGATGGGTGTCGAAAATGGTATCACTGTTTATGTAGTGGTGTTCAAAACGGCGCTGCCATTAGCGACGATCCTTGGTATTGTCTGTCATGTAGAGCCCGCAAGGCTATTATGGGGCCTATTGATGTTTATCAAGTGGTCGTTCCAACACTTAAATTTCTTTTGGTGGGAAATATATCTTATACTGATACACATCAAAGCTTATTTCAGAAGTATCAAAGATGTATTGGAGTAGTCGGAGATGAAGCCCAGCTTGCTAGTGCTGCAGGTGCTGCGGCTATTTCCTCACTTTGGAGATCTACTGGAGAACAGTGTGCTGCCGTTGATTTTTTGCTCGCACTGGATCGCGATTTGCATATTCTTCATGGGGGTGAACGCGTTGCATTCTACGACTATCGAGGTGATGCTGCCGCTGCCGGTATCCGATTTGTTACTGCTCGGATTGAGCGCGATAGACCGCTACCAACTGCTTTGATCGCAGTATCTAGCGACTCGTTGACCATGGCTCCGAAAGAGTTCGCTGTAAATTCTGTGCACTTGTTCGAGGCTAGTACTTGTTTATATATTTGTACTGGCAAACGAGACAACAAATGGAATGGGTTCCAAATGCAATCGATTATCTGGGTGCGCGCTATTTGTAACAGCTTCCCCCCCCGAAAGAGAGTAGGTACAAATAGTGAGCAGCCACAACATATAACATGCTTACATATTGACATGCATACGAGTAAGATAAACATATTCTTCATTAGTGTGAAGTAATTATGGCTTCAGATATATGGTTATCCGCTTGAGAATGGATGCTCAAGTAATGGTTAGAAGCATGATTAATGATGATGACGATGATGATGATGATGATGATGATGATGATGATGATTAATGGTTTTTATCATGAGAGGTAGAATTGAAGAGAAATGCATATAAACTTGGGTTACATATTAAGCATCAAAATTGTGATTGAGTATTACAAATGATTGTGCAAATAATCAAGATGATAAATGTGAGTATCTTGTGAGACACAAAGGATTTGATGAGTAATTAATATAAGATAAAAGTGATGATATATATGATTTAGACATAATAAAGATTGATATATTGGTAGATATTTATCAGAATAGTAGAATTAAAACTCACATAACTTAAAGGGGTGCATTGTATAGTATTGTATGGTGAAGAAGGCATCGAATATCATAAGTATAGCATGTGATGAAAAGTATGAATAATAAGTGATTGATATTAATGAGTAGGTAGAAGAATACATTAACAGTGGAATAGTGCAACAAATCAACAAAACAACAAATCATAGTATATTATCATGACAACAATCTTTACAATTTTATTTTATTTTTTTTTTATTTTTTTTATTTTTTTTATTTTTTTTTTATTTTTTTTTATTTTTT